ATGGTGATATGGTGATGATGGTTGCACAACTTCATGAATGTAGTAAAGTTACTGAATTGTAGATTTTTAAATGGTTAAAATGATAAGTTTTATGTATATTTTAGCACAATTAAAAAAAAAAAGAAAACTAAAGTCTGAGAAGCACTGAAGACCATTGGTTCCAAAAATCTGGCCTATCGTTGGAATCATCTAGGAAACTTTTAAAGCTCAGATCTAATAGGTCAGAATTTCTGGCATTTGGACTCAGAAACTGCATGTCTTTTTTTTAATTCTCAAGTCTGACAGCCGCAAGGTTTGGGAGACACTGATAACAGAACCAAGAAGAGGTGGCTAATGGCCCTCAAATGATCGAAAGTTAGTCAAGTAGAGCAAGGAACAGGTGTGCTCCACATTGCTCCAGAGATCAGAACTAAAACCAATGGGTTGAAATGACCAGGAAGCAACTTTTAGCCTGAGAATTTTCCTGTGACCAGAGGGACCAAAAAGAGAATAGTCTCTCCTGAGGTAGGGAGTGCCCCACTACCTGGGGCTTGTAAAGAGAGGCTGTATGTCTGTCCAGGATCCTGTAAGCGTTCTTGCATCTGTGAACAGTTAGAGATGAACTCTAAAGTCCCTCCCTACGCTCAGATCTGTGATTGTCAATGCCAAACTTGTTGCTGTCTGGCCTCCCATCCACAAAGACCATTCTAGAAATGTGACAGATCTACCTAGGGTTTTCTAGGCTGTAATCTTTATGAGAGTAGATCATCAGGTCTTTTCTCCAGCAGAGCTGATGGGTAGGTTCAAATTACCAACCTTTCGGTTAGCAGCCGAGCACTTAACCATTGCACCACTGGGGCTCCTTTTATAACTACCTACTGGGGACTGCATCTCTGGAGAACCTCTGGCCAGAGCTGATCTTTAGACCTAACCCACAGCTGCTGTAGACCAGAATCTTCCCCTTAGAGCTGAACTAGCCCCAAGCCAACCTCTGGGAGTTGGGGAAAAGCCCTCTGACCCAGCAGGCCCATTGTCTCTCAGTCGGGCATTGCCACTGCCAGAGCAAGAAGAAAGGAGCCAGTTGACACTAAAGATTTTCTGTTGCATCAAGTCCCTGCCTTAACTCTAAATAGTTTAATAAACTATTATATATTGAAATAATAAAAATAAAATTAAAAGGAGCTTATTGGAGACATTCGAGATTCCTGAGACAGGTGCCTTTGGGATAGCTACCAAGGACCCCTACAGGAAGGGGATCTGGTGCCCTTCCCCCCTCCCTTAGATAAGAAGCAAACCACAGGCAGGTGCTTTTCCTTTCTTTTCATTTTTCCTTTTGTTTTTTTGCCTTCTTTAGAGCCATTGGTAAACACACAGTCACCATGGGAGGGATTTCAAAAGCTGGGGCCCAGATGAGGAAGGCTGGCTCCTTCCCCCTCTCTGATTACAGCTAAGTAGTTCAGG